GGGTGGCGGCCGCGGCGGAAGCAGCAGCAGCAGCAGCAGCAGCAGCAGAAGCAGACCTGGACATAGACTACGCGCAGCACCCCTTCTTCCGGCTGCCGCAGCGCAGACCCGCGGAAGGCATCCTCCCCCTCGAGCTGCAGCGACACGGAGCAGCAGAAGTCAGCACGGGAGTGGCCACCAAACTCAGCCCCGTCCGCTACTTGCTGCAGAAGGAGTGGCTCAGCCCCAGGGAGCAGCAGTACCTCGTGCGCCTCGGCGAGACGCTGCTGCGCTACGCCCAGCGCTTCCTTGCTGCTGAGCTGCGGGTGCGCTTCCAGGGCTACGCGCTGCTGCCGCTGGCGCGGCGGTTTCTGATAGCGGACTACCTGTGGAGCATTTGCCAGGTGGTGGGGCCTCCGATGCAGCAGCAGCTGTGGTGGGGCCCGCTGCTGCAGCAGATGGCCGCTGCGCCGCTGCTGCTGCTCCGCGCCGAGGCCCGCCGCCCCGGCACCCTCAAGCCCGTCATTCTGAAGCTCCTCGCTGCGCTCCAGGTCTACAAGGCTGGCAGCAGGCCTCCTCCCAAGGAGGTTGTCGAGCTCAAGAGGCTTCTCTTCAGAAAGCCCTGCCTCAACATGTACTTCCGCAGGGCCACCTGGGACCCCTGGCGCCTCGACGACGAGCTCTTCATGCAGCAGCAGAAGCAGCGCAAGCTCCAGCCCCCCGCCACCTAGCGGCAGCAGCAGCGGCAGCTGCAGCAGCAGCTGCAGCAGCGGCAGCGGCGGCGGCGGGGGGCTGCGGGCGGCGCGGGCTGGGGCAGCTGCGGCGGCGGCGGGGCCGGCGCGGCCGCCTCCTGCGCCTGCGCCTGCGCCTGCTGCTGCTGCTGCTGCTGCTGCAGTTGTTTCTGTCTATTTTTCATGTTGCGTTGCGGCCCTTCTAGATGGTGGCGGCGGCGCTCCTGCGCGCCTTCGAGCCTCGCTCCTGCAGGAAGCAAAAGCAAGTCTTGTTCTTTTGTGTCTTGTTCCAAATAATGCAATTTGAACCCTCGAGCTCCGCAGCTCTCATTGTTCTTCTTTTCTTGTTATTGTTCATTGTTCTGCCGGTTCTTTGTTGCTCTTTTAGTCTTTTTTCTCCCAAAACAACAGAAACGTCTGAAGAGAAGCGCACCTGGCACCTGCAGCTGCTGCTGCAGCAGCAGCAGCTGCTGCAGCAGCGGTACACAAGAAGCAGCTCCGAAAACGCCAAGTCGCAGAAAAGTTAGAAAGTCAACTAGTTAAGTCCCAAAAGGAGGAACGGAAGAACAGAGAAAAGTCATTTTGATTAGATTATATGCCAAATGGAGAAATCAAGAAAGGGAAAGGAAGCACCAGTCAGTAGGGCAGAAGCAGAGACAGAGCTTACTGGTGCTAATTAGGAAAAAGAATTTAAATGCAAAAGGAAAATATAGTCCAGCACCAACGGCAGGAACTCAGCAGCAGCTGCTGCTGCAGTTCCTGCAGCGGTTGCTACAGTTGCTGAAGTTGCTGCAGCTGCTGCAGTTGCTGCATATATTAGCAAGAAAAAATTAGTAAGTCTAGACATAGAAAAGGGGAAGGCTTGAGGGGAGCAGAGGCGTAGCAGCAGTAGGCGCAGCCGCCTGCAGCAATTCAAAATTTGGTGTTTTGCTGCTGCTGCTGCTGCTGCTGAGAGAGCAGCTACTTTATTTCAAATTTAGAGTGCCGGGTAAATAGCTGCGTGCTGCAGTGACAATTAAATTCCTCAGGCGGACTTTTTGGATTATTTAAAATAATTAAAAATGCAAACTACCTTAGAAGTATTTGCAAAAATACGAAAGACTCAGAGGCCAGAAAGGACTTTGTGAACTCCAAAATATGAACTTTTTGAAAAAATAATTTCATTTCTTTGTGAAATTTCCTCATAACTCCCAGCCCACACTAGCTGCTGCGATTTTCGCAGCAGCTCGATCTCGGGAAAGCTGCTGCTGCTGCGCTGGCAGCCAAATGCATTCTTATGAAGACCCCTTTTGCTGCTCTTCATTTTTTATTTTTAAGAGTATTATTAATAAGAATAAAACAAATAAATTAATGGAACTTTTTGCTGCAAGAATTAACCGGGGGCCTCTGCCTTCGATCCCCCAGCCAGAACTGGAGACAGGCAAGCAACGAAACTCTCTGCAGGCACAGCCACGCTGCTGCTGCTGCTGCTGCAGCAGCTGCTGCTGCTGCACCGACAGCTTCTCAGTAAAGAAGCTGCTGCGCCTTTCAAGGAAGCAGCTAAGGGGTTGAACATTTTCAAGTTTTGGGAAGCTATGATTCACCCATTAGGGGCTAATTTTGCTGCAGCAGCTGCCTAATGAGCTGCTTGCAGCAGCACAAACTAAAGCTTTGAAAGGCCAGCAGCAACCCGGTGAGCAGCCCGTGACTCCGCTAAAGAAAGGGTGAGGCGCAGCACTTTTCCTAAGTCCCCGCAAATACCCCACAAAGCGCGTAGCAGCAAAAGTGTCACTGCTGCAGCAAGCAGCAGCAACCTTGGCGGGCTACTTCGAGCCCCAGCACTCCGCAGCAGAAAGGGGAGTTAAGGGGCCTCTGGGGAGTCACGCGGAGCTGCTGCAGAAGTGCAGCGCGAGGCTTGAATGGCTGACGGCAGCGCAAAGTTTCGCAAGACAAACATTTACTTGCTGCTGCCAAGGCAAGAGGTGAGCCACTGTGGACGGACTCTGCCGGCAGCTGCAGCAGAGAAAAGAGCCAGAAAATCTTGAGAAAAATTCGGTTAAATGGAACAATTGGAGGGGAAATTGCGAGAGTTTGGCAGCAGCGAAGGTCGAGTATATTCCCCCGGGCTAAGGAAGCAAATAAATCCTTGAAAGAAAAAAAAAATCCAAGAGGAAATGCTCAAGTAAAGAGGCGCAGCCACGGAAGGCCCCACTGCCTCGGGCAAATCTCCAAGAGAGCAGCAGCTGCAGCAATTTGGGAAAAGACCAATAAGAGCTGCGTGGGCCAAAAGCCTTCACTTGGCCCTTTAGAAAGAGAGCTGAAAAGGCTAATGCGCAGCGTGCATGCAGGCAGATGTGAAATTCAGTGAAAAGGACTTTTAAGGAGCAGCTCACCCGAAGGTGAAGCTGCCGCCGCAGCAGCAGCTTTGAAAACTTTAAAAAATTTAAATTAAAAAAATAGAAAAGAGCGCGCTGCCGAAGACCGAGATCTGTTATGAAGCGTGGACACAACTGCTGGCATTCGACCTGAGGCAGTGGGACAGTGTTCGGCCCCCTCTGCTGCTGGCTAGCCATAATATAGTTTGGCTAGCTGTGCAGCAGCTAGCTCTCGGGAAAGTTCGCTTTCTAAGGAGTGTGGCTTCGCTTTGGCTAGCTGGTGCGCTGCCCCTTAGCTGGGCAGTGGGAAGACAAAGCAATCTGGTGAGTCCATAAGAGCTTTTATTTCTTTTTGTTCCTTTAATTGGAATTGGGGACTCATCTAAAAGAGTTTTTGTTCCCTTTAATTGAAATTCAAGACTCAAATGGCTCACGAGACTCGAAGAAGCTGCACCCACAAGTGCAGCAAACTGAAAGCTGCAAAGGCGGCGAAGAAAAAAAAGAGAACTGGAATCTGAGTGTATAAGCCGAAGACATTTGCAACGCAGGCCTACGGCCCGCCAGCGAGAGAAAAAAAACAAAACAAAAACATGAAAAAAATTTTGGGGAAACTCCTGCAGCTATTCCCGAAGCTGCACATGGCAAAGAAGGCAAGAAGGCAGCCAATCAAAAGACAGGCATTTGGGCATTTTGTCCAGTTTTGTCTATTTTAAATTGTTCTTTTTTTAAAAAAATATTACAGTGAATTCAGTCCATTACACTGGCCACCGCAAGGCCTCAGTCTCTTACTGGCTTCGCTGAACTTCAGCAACCTCGTGTTTTTTGAAAAAGAGCAAAAAGCCAAAGTTTGTGCAGTTGTGGGTCGCAGCCAAAAAGCCGCAAAGAGCTGCGGGCTAGTTGCTTCGGCCTGGCTAGCCAGCTGGCCAAAAAGGCAGCAAAAGAAAACTCAGTCGCCTTTAGCAAATGGCCGTAGGCAGCAGAAAGGCAGAAGCTACCAGCTAAGAAATGAGCCGAAGTTCCTGAGCTGAAGCCCTTTCCTACCATTTGAAACCCGAGCCCTCCACCATATAAAACGCTGTCAGAAACCACTTCTGAACCTGCTTCCAAGTCGATCTTGGCCCGCTAGAGGACTCCCAAGATATTAAGAATAAGTTTGGTCAAGGCTTGCGAGGCCAGCTGGCTGACCTGGTGTCTATACACCCCAAACTCCCCACAGTCCTACAGGCCCCAGCGGACTCTCCTGGCCGCAGCCACGCCCAGGGGCCCCTGGCTTTTCGGCTGCTGCGCAGCTTCAGCAGCACAATAGCTCAGCAGCACTAGAGCGCAGCAGCACAAGAACGCAGCAGCACTAGAACAGCAGCACGCGAGCCCAGCAGCACTAGAGCGCTGCAGCACTAGAGCGCTGCAGCACTAGAGCAGCAGCACACGAGCCCAGTAGCACTAGAACGTAGCAGCACTAGAGCAGCAGCATCACAGAGCTGCAGCACTACAGCGCTGCAGCACTAGAGCCCCCAAGAGCTCCATTTTGCTGCAGGGCGGAGCAACCACTGCCACAGATATAGACAAGGCTTTAAACAAATCTGGCGAGAGCCACTTTAGTTTTCCCTGCACTCAGCTCTGCCCCTCACTTAGTTAAAGCTGCAGCAGGAGAACTGCAGCAGCAGCGGCATCAGAAGCAGCATTTTGCTTCGCTGCAGCAGCTCCTGCTGCAGCCTTTTTCAAGCTTCTATCATGCTGCGGGACTTGGCTGCAGCAGCAAATCGGGCTGGTGAAGCCACTGAACTGTGCTGATGAAGGATAATAACAAAGAAAGTAACTAAACTTTCTTGATAAAGAGAAATAAAAGGAAAATAAAACTTCAGAACTTATCCTGCTAGCTCAAGAGATCTGCTTGCAGCAGCTAGAGCTCAAGACACAGGTGTATGTGCAGAAAACCATTTATTGCATTGTTTTGAATTCAAGTTTGTCTTGAGCCCTTATCTTTTATCCTTAGTTCAACTTTGCTGCTTCTTTTTGCTTCTTCTTCTGGACTTTAATGTCTCAATTCGCATGCAAGATGATTCAAACTGCTGCAGGAACTTAACTGCAGCAAGGCTTAGTGTGCAGCTCCACAGCAGCAATTTGTACTTCTGAAAAGCCCAGCGAGGCCTCTCTAGCGGCTTTTCCTGAACTCCGTTTGTCCAATTTTTAATTGAAATAAAATAGCTTTTCCAAACTTTTGCAAATCTCCGGCTTCAGCAAATTAAACCAATGCAACTCATACATTTCCAGCAGCTCCAGTCTAGCTGCAGCAGCAGAAAGCTTACCGCGGGATCCTAGGCCACGCCATGAAGGCTGCCGCCGCAGCAGCAGCAGCAGCTGCTGCTGCTGCAGCCGCTGCTGCTGCTGGGGTGGCCTAGTGCTGCAGCAGCAAACTATACTAGTAGCAGCACGGCCTGCAGCTCCTGCTGCCCGCTCACGGGGTGCTCGCGGCCTCTGGGGCCCGAAGGCAACCCCCTGAGCCACCCCCAGGGCCTCAGGACTTAATTTATAAACTTTTGAGGTTCTGATTAATCTAATTTGCAAAATTATTTCGCCAAGTAGTGGTACTGAGCAGCAGCAAGGCCACGCGCAGCCTCGGGAGCGCAGCAGAGGCGCAGCCGCAGCAGCGGGGGAACTGCAGCAGCTTTTATGTTATATGGAAGTTCAGATAATTTGTAACTGAGTGCAGCACAACAGGTTTGAGCCACAGACACGAGGTCGCAGCAGCAGGAGCAGCGGCAGCAGCGACGGCGCAACTGCTGCAGCAGCAGCTCCTGCTGCTGCTGAGCTCCCTAAATTATGCGCAGAAGGCTGTATTTTGATTTGCTGCATCTCAAAATTAATGCGACGAGAGCCACCAGTATAAGCTGGAGGCAGTGCTGCGACGAGTATAGTTTGCTGCTGCAGTACTAGGGCCCCCGCACCAGCAGCAGCAGCAGCTGCTGCTGCTGCTGCTGCTGCTTGAGGAGCCGTAATTAAGGGAAATCAATGTTTCGACTTGTTGTTTGAAATTGAAAAGGATCCATACACCGACGCGTTTACATTTTTTATATTTTAGCTGCTGCTGTGCTGCTGCTGCACCACAAGCGTCAACAGCCATAGCCAGCAGCAGCAGCAGCGTTAGCAGCAGCAGCAGAAGTTACTCCGAGAGCAGCAACAACAAATACTCCTTTGATACGGGGCCCTCTCGTCGCTGCTGCTGCCGCTGATAGGGCCGCTGCTGCTGCAGCTGCTGCAGCTGCTGCACTGCAGCACCTGCAGCAGCTGCTGCAGTTCGCTGCGTCTGTCCGCTAATGTATCCACGCGCTGGAAGGTCTCAGTTGCTGCTCTGGTAGCAGCAGCAGCAGCAGCCTTGCACGCCGCGCTGCAGCAGAAATGGATTATCAGCAGCTGCTGCCGACGCAGCATCACGACCCCAGGAGCAGCAGCAACCCTCCCCTCGCCGGCAGCAGCAGCAACTACAGCGGCAACTGCAGCAGCAGCAGCAGCAGCCGTCGATACAGCAGCGGCGGGGCCCCACAGTTTGGTGCTGCTGTCTCGCGGTTTGTGTTTGCGAGTGACTCTGCAGTGTTTGAGGGCCACCACCGCGGCAGCAGCAGCAGCAACTACAGCAACAGCAGCAGCAGCAACTACAGCAGCAGCAGCAACTACAGCAGCAGCAGGGTCAGCAGCAGATCATTCCACCCAGCAAATTATTATGAAGGCCAAGGGCGCCGCAGCGGCGGCCTGGCGGTGCTGCGGGGCCCCTTGCTGCAGCCCAGAGATTCCCCGCCGGAATACAGCAGCAGCAGCAGCAGCAGACCCTACAGCAGCAGCAGCAGTGGCGGGAGCTATGCCGGCGGCAGCAGCAATAAGGCTTACCGCGTAGGCTGCTCCTACAGCAGCAGCAGCAGCAGCAGCAACTGCAGCAGCAGCTGCAGCAGCAGCAGCAGCAGTGACTACAGGGGAGGGTACAGTCGGTATGGCGAAAGGCCTTATCACAGCGGAGACTGTAGGAGGAGCCCCAGGAGACGCCCGCAGCAGCCAGCCTGCAGCAGCAGCAGCAGCAGCAGCAGCAGGCATGTTATCCCGGCGAAGCCCTTCCCAGTTGAGTGCAGCAGCACGAGTGCCCACAGCAGCAGCACTTACAGCAGCAGCAGTAGCAGCGGCAACTGCAGCAACTACAGGAATAGTAGCAGCTACAGCAATAGCAGCAGCAACTGCAGCATCAATAGCAGCAGCAGCAGCAGCAACAGCTGCTGCAGCTTTGATTACAGCGCTCCGCGCAGCATGGCTGACCGCATAGTCCAAGGGCGGCGACCGGCTGAGCAGCAGCAGCAGCAGCAGCAGCAGCAACATGGGATGCAACAGGTCGAAAACTTGACCTTAGAGCAGCAGCTGTGGCAGCAGCCAAAGGGGCAGCAGCAGCTGCTGCACCAGCGCCAGCACCCGCTGCAGCAACAGGACTGCAATAGGAAACAAGAAGATATGAAGCAGCAGCAGCTGCTGCAGGGTCATTTGCTGCAGCAGCAAATGCAGCAGCAGCAACAGGATGAGCTGCAACACCACATTCGACTCCAGGAGCAGCTGCAGCAAAGACTGCAGCAGCTACTGCAGCAGCAGCAGCATCAAGGACAGATTTCAAAGTCGCTAGCGCAGCTCCTTTCGTCCCCAAAGGAGTTTCAGCAGCAGCAGCAGCAGCAGCACCTGCCGCCGCCGGCGCAGCAGCAGCACACGCTGCAGCAGACGCTGCAGCAAACGCAGCAGCAAGAGCAGCTGCTTCTGCAGCTGCAAAACCAGCTGACGGAGCAGCTGCAGCTGCAGCAGCAGCAAGAGCCTTTCATGCTGCTGCCTTCGCCAGGGCTGCTGAGCAGCAACCAGCATTTTCCTGTCGAGCAGAAGGAAGGGCAGCGTGAAAAAGAAACGGCGCAGCAGCAGCAGCAGCAGCAGCAGCAAGCTTTGCTGCAGCAGCCGCCGTGGCTCAATGAGGTGGCAACGGTGAACGGCACAGATAATGCTGCGCAGCAGCAGCAGCAGCTGCTCCTGCATCGGGAGCAGCACTTGCACGAGTTGCAGCAGCCGCAGCAAATTCTGCAGGATGAGCAGCAACAGCAGCAGCAGCAGAAACAAATGTGGCTGCGGCAACACGCTGAGGAGCAGCAGCAGCAGCACGAGCTAGAGGCTCTCATTCGTCGACGCAACAGCGACAGCGCCTCCAGAAGCAGCAGCAGCAGCAGCAGCAGCAGCAGCACCAGCGGCGACAGCAGCAAGCCCTGTGGGCCTGATGCTTCGCACGGATTGGGACAGCAGCAGCAGCAACAGCAGCATCAGCAGCAACAGCAAGCACAGCGTTATTGGCGCCAAAGGCCAGAATCGGCTGCAACCACACGCCGCCCCCGTTTACAGGAGCTGCTGCAGCAACCGCAGCAGCAGCAGCAGCAGCAGCAGCAGCAGCAGCAGCAGCAGCAGAGGCAGCAGGTGGAGCAGCGTCATGCACAGCAGCAGCAGCAGCAGGAGCAGCTGCGGAAGCAGCAGCAACACTTCCCGCAAGAGGAGCCTCAGCAGCAGCAAGTGCAGCAGCAGGTTCTGCAGCCAGTGCAGTTGCGCAAAGTCGTGTCTTCGCCAGAGCAGCAACGCAGTGAGTCCAGCAACAGCAGCAGCAGTAGCAGCAGCAGCAGCAGCAGCAGCAAACTCAAAGTTAACCGGTGGGGCAGCACTCGCCGGGTGCCGCGAGCTGCTGCTGATTGGCCCAGAGCAGCTGAGCAGCAGCACATACAGCAGGAGCTGCAGCAGCACACGCAGCAGCCGGAGCTGCTGCAGCAGCCGCAGCAGCTGCAGCAGCAACACGGCACTAGTGCCGAGCAAGGTACTACATCTTCCCGCAGCAGCAGCACGTCTGCTGCAGCAGCAGCTGCTGCTGCTGCTGCTGCTGCTGTTGCTGCTCCGCAGTGCACTTCAGAATTGCCGTCACACAAACCGTGCGTGCATGCAGCAGGTGATGTAGCAGCAGCAGCAGCAGCTGCTGCTGCTGCTGCTGCTGCTGCAGTAGCTGCTACAGCAGCTCCGGTCGCTGCTGCAGAAGCGGCAACAGACGCAGCAGACTCTAGTGAAACTACCAGCACAGACGCAGCTGCAGCAGCACCGGACGCTTCTGTTGCTGCTGCTGCTGCTGCTGCTGCTGCAACACTTGTTGTTGACGTTGCTGCCGAAACACCGACGGATGCGCCAGCAGGAGAACTTACAGCAGAGCAGGCAACAGCAGCAGCAGCAGCAGCAAATGTTGCAGCAGGAGCGAGTGATGCAGCAGCAGTTGATGTCGATGCAGCAGCAGCTAATGCTGATGCAGCAGCAGCTAATGCTGATGCAGCAGCAGCCAATGCTACCTCAGCAGCTGATGCCGATACAGCAGCAGAGGATACTGATGCAGCAGCTGACGCTGATGCAGCAGCAACTGATGCACAAGCAGCTAATGCTGCTGCAGCAGCTGGTGCTGCTGCAGCAGCAGCTAGTGCTGACGCAGCAGCAGCTAGTGCCGATGCAGCAACAGCTGATGCTGAAGTAGGAGCAGCTTCTGCTGCCGCAGCAGTAGCTGGAGCCGATGCAGCAGCAGCTAGTGCTGATGCAGCAGCAGCTGATGCTGATGTGGCAGCAGCTTATGCTGCTGCTGCAGCAGCTGATGCTGATGCAGCAGGAGCTAGAGTTGATGCCTCAGCAGCTGATGCCGCTGCAGCAGCTGATGATGTTGCTGCAGCAGCTGGTGATGTTGCTACAGCTGATGCTGTTGCTACAGCTGATGCTGCTGCTGCAGCAGCTGGTGCTGATGCAACAGCAGCTGATGTTGCTGCAACAGCTGGTACTAATGTAGCAGCAGCAAACTCTGGAGATGCACCAGCCGTGGCAGCTGAAGGTGCAGCACAGTTCGAGACAACGGTAGCTGCTGCTGCTGCTGCTGCGGCACCCGTAGCTGCTGCAACCGAGCCTGCTGCTGCTACCGCAGCAGCTACTGCAGCAGTCGTAGCACCTGTTGCTGCTGCAGCTCCCACAAGCGCTGTGGCAGAAGCAGCTAAGGCTGCAGCAACTGCTGCTGCTGAAGTGTGTGAGGCTGCAGCGTCTGCTGCTGCTCCTGCAGCTGCAGCATTTGCTGCTGCTCCTGCAGCTGCAGCATTTGCTGCTGCTCCTGTGGCTGCAGCACCTGCTGCTGCTTCTGCCACTGCACCAGAGGCAGCCGATGCCGCACCCGATGCTGCAGCACCGCCGTCAAGAGAGACCCCGGAAACAGCAGCAGCAGCAGCAGCAGCAGTAGCAGCAGCACCCGTAGCAACAGCGGCAGCAGCACATGTAGAAGCAGAAGGCACCTTCTTTTCTCAGCTGTCCGCTGCTGCGCAGCAGCGCATGCGGCAGCTGCGGCAGCGGAGGCAGCAGCAACAGGGATGGCAGCAGGAGCAGCAGCAGGAGCCTCCACAGCAGCAGCCGATGCAGCAGCAGCAGCAACAGCAGCAGCAACAGGAGGTTCATGCTGCTGAACAGCAGGACGGCCGTACGCCAGAGCTGCTTTTGCGGAAACTGGAGCCTTACGGGCAGCAGCAGCATCAGCAGCAGGAGCGGCGCGAGCAGCAGCAGCAGCAGCTGGAGGCGAGGCAGCAACTGCTGCAGAAGCTGCAGCGAGTCCAGCAGTTCCGTGAGCTCAGGCAGCAACAGCAACAGCAGCAGCAGCAGCAACAGGAGGAGAAGTCGCTTTGCCTGCAGCAGGAGCAGCACATGCAGGAGCAGCAGCAAGCACAGCGCCAAGAACAGCAGCATGCACAGCTGCAGCAGCAACAGCAGCAACAGCAGCAACAGCTGCTGATTCAGCAGCGACAGCAGCTGCAGCTGCGGCAGCAGCAGCAAGAACAGCAACAGAAGCAATGGCAGCAGCAAGTTCAGCAGCAGCAACGTAGCCCCTCACTCGTGTGGGTGGACGCAGAGTCTCTCGTTGTTGTTTTTGACGACGAAGAGAAGCAACAGCAGCAGCAGCAGCACAAACGGGAACAGCAGCAGCAACAGCAACAGGAACGGCAAATGAAGCAACGCCAGCAGCATCTGCAGCAACTTGCAAAGCAGCGGGACCAGCAGCAGCAGCGAGACGCCCAACAGCAAGAGCAGCAGCAGCAACTGCAGCAACAGCAACTACAGCGGCAGAAAGCGCAGCAGCAGCAGCAGCAGGAACTGCTGGAAGAGCAGCAGCAGCAGCAGCAGCAGCAGCAGACGCCGACACTGAAGCCCGCGGAGCTCACGCCTGACATCTCAACTTGCGAATGCACGCCAGCAACAGCAAACGAAGCAGCAATTGCTGCTGCTGCTGCTGCTGCAGTTGAATTGCCTGCAGCTCCAGCTGCTGCTATTACTTCTGCTGCAACACCTTCAACCACAGCGTCTGCAGCTGCTGCTTCTTCCCAGCCACCAGCAGCAGCTGCTGCTTCGCTTGCAACTCCAGCAGCCGCTGCTGCTGCTGCTGCTGTAACAGCAGCAAAGGCTGCTGGAGCAGCAGCTGCGGGCCCTGCTGCTGCCACTCCTCCTGCTGACATGTTTGCTGCTGCTGCTGCGACGGCTGTTGTGACCCCGTCAGACAGCACAGCAGCAGCAGCGGCTGCGAAAAGTGCCGCTGAAGAGAACGGGGTGAGGCAGCAGCATCGGGTGCAACAGCAGCAGCAGCACGCTGCTGCTGAAGGCGGAGCTGAGGGGCGTAGGACACCAGGTGCTCGCAGCAACAGCAGCAACGGCAACAGCAGCAGCAGCAACAGCAGCAGCAGCAGCAGCAGCAGCACACATGGAGTGTCTATACAGGCGGAGCTGCAGCAGCTGCACATCAATGTGGCGCGGTTGGAAACTCTAGATGCGCTGCTGCACGCACGAGCAGCAGCAGCAGCAGCAAAGGCGAAGCTGCTGCAGCGGGAGCTTGACGCAGCAAAAGCAGAAACTGAGAAGACGCTTTCTGAGCGCGTAAGCTGCTGCCTTCCACTTTGTGTTGCTGTTGCTGCTGCTGCTGCTGTCGTAGCTGTCATTTTGCTCCTGCTGCGATTGCAACTACTTAGCTACACGGTCAAGAGGCTTGCTGCTGCGGTGCTCGCGGTTTTTTGCTGCTGCTATTGCTGCTGCTGCTGTTGCTGCTGCGGATGACGGTGCTTTTGCTGCTGCTGGCGTGCGCTGCTGCACCTGCTGCGGCCGGTCGCGGTGTTGCAACAACACCTGCTGCTGCTTCAGCACCTGCTGCTGCTAATGCAGCGCATGCAGGCTTTGCTGCTGCAGCATCTCATGCTGCTGCAGCGGCAGGTGCTGATGCAGCCTAGTGCGTCACAGCAGCCCTTGTGGGGTTGGGTGTTTTGAGCTGGGGCCACAGCAGCAGCAGCAGCAACAGCAGCTCGCGAGCACTTAAGCAGCAGCTGCTGCTGCTGCTGCAGCGCTGTGGAGCTGCAGCTGCGGCTGCGCTGTTGGATGCTGCTGTTGCTGCTGCTGCTGCGGCCGGTGCAGCGGCTAGAGCACCAGGGCCCGGGAGAATTTCCCCTGTCTATTGAGGTGTATGTACACTCCGTGCATGCGCTGCGCAGGCCGCGGTGACGCAGCAGCTGCAGCAAGCCAACAAGCAGCTGCGGGAAAGGAGGCAGCAGCTCATTCGACTAGCAGCAAGACATGCAGCAGCAGCAGCAGCAGCCTCCATCGCAACAACAGCTGCTGCTGTCAGAAATGCAGCAACTGCGCCGCACCCAGCTTCGTCTCCGTCGACAACTGCTGCTGCTGCTGCTGCAGGCGCCACCGCAGCAGCTGCAGCAGCAGCAGCAGGTCCCCGCGTGTCTTCTGCGCTGCCTGGTGCTGCTGATGCTGCAGCTGCTAGGCAGTGGCGTCGCAGCAGTGATGCACCATCGCAAGTTGCAGCAGCAGCAAGTGCTGCAGCAACTGCTGCAGCAACTGTTGCAGCAACTGCTGCAGCAGCTGCTGCTGCTGGTACGAAGGGGGTGACACAGGGAGGGTTGAAGCGGGATGCAACAGCCAGCAGCAGCAACAGCAGCAGCAGTAAGAATGGAGGAGGCGGTCGTTTGCAGGCTGCTGCAGAGGTGGCTTCTGCTGGGGAAGCAGCAGCAGCTGCTGCTGCTGCTCCCGGCGCTGCAGCAGCAGCTGCAACGCCGGAGGAAGACCCAGCAGCAACAACAGAAGAAGAGGAAGATGAGGAGACGCTGTGTCTCTCCGGCAGGAAGCGAAAGAGAGGGACGAGCAGCAGCAGCAGCAGCAGCAGCAGCAGCAGCAGCAGCAGCTCACACCCGCGAACTTATATCCCCAAATGGTTTTGTGTCTCTTCTTCTCAAGAGGGACAAATACAGAGGCAGCTGGAGAGCTGTACGTACACCTCAGCTCTGAGTCAGTGGGACCTCAGCGGCCTGACCAGCAGCCTGCAGCAGCAGCAGCAGCAGCAGCAGCAGCTGCAGCAGCAGAAGCAGAAGCAGCACATCATAGAAGCCCTGGGGGGAGATAATGCTCTCCGACCTATTTGCTGCTACTCGCTGCTCGGCAGCTGCCGCAAAAACTGCACAGATATTCATCTGTAGCGCAGCGCATGCATGCAAAACGCGTGCATGCCTTTTGCATGCAAACGTATGCATGCAAACGCATGCATGCAAACGCATGCATGCAAACGCATGCATGCAGAACACATGCAAGGCGCATGCATTCAAACGCATGCATGAAGAACGCATACGCGTAAAACGCAAGCACGGGAACGCATGCTTTTGCATGCGCAGAATGCATGCATGCAACGCGCATGCACTTCTGCATGCACCCGTGCATGCATGCGCCTTTTTGCAGGTGCATGCATGCATGCATGCATGCATGCACTTGGACATGCATGCATGCATGCATGCGTGCAGAGTAAAGAGCGCTCTGGGGGCCCCACGATGCCTTCTTTAGTTTCGCCTCTTACCTGCGTTGTCTCTGTGCTCTCAGATGCAGCAGCAGCAACAGCAGCAGCAGCAGCTGCTGCTGCTGCTTCTGCTGCTGTTGCTTTGCAAGATTCTTGTCTTTGTGTTTTGTTTCTCGGGAATGTACGGAAGGGATTGCGGTGTACGTACACTTGTACCAGCAGAGGCCTCAAGTAGCCGCGTGCTGGTGTTGCTGCTGCTGCTGCTGCTGCAGCAGGGAGCCCTGCTGCTGCAGCAGGGAGCAGCAGCAACACATTTTTTCATACTTGTTTGTTTTCGTATGGCGCTGACCACTTAGCAAACGAAGCCTTTGGCTCTCCAGCCTTTCAACTTTTCTGAATATTGGCAGCAGTCAGCTAGCTAGCTAGCTAGCCAGCCAGCTACCTGGCCTACTAGATAGCTAGCTGGCCAGCTAGCTAGCTAGCTAGCTCTACGAGCAGAAGTCTGGCTGGCTAGCCACCTAGCTAGCTAGCCAGCTAGGAAGCCAGCTAGCTAGGTGGCTTCCCACCCTGAGATTTAGCTAGCTAGCTAGCTAGCTAGCTAGCTAGCTAGCGACCTAGCGGAGCCCTAGCTGGGCTAGGCATTTCAGTTAGCGAGCAAGCTGCTTCGCAACACTACTGCAGCTGCGGCAGCTGCAGCTGCAGCAGCAGCAGCTGCAGCAGCGAAATCTCTAAAGCTACTTCCAGTTGACGCCTTCAAAAGTAAAGAGAAGCAAACAAACTTTACTGCTGTTTACAAAACCAAACAACTGTAAGAACCCCCTAGTCCGTGCTGCTGCACCAGCAACTGTGCAGTGGTGCTGCTGCAGCGCTGCTGCAGTGGCTGCTGCAGCGGTGCTGCAGCAGTAGCTGCTGCAGTGGTGCCGCTGCAGCGGCTGCTGCAGCGCTGCTTTAGTGGTGCTGCACCAAGGCTGCGAGTGCTGCAACACAATAAATTCGAAAAGCTGCTGCTGTATTTGCTGCAGCTTCATAACAGCCGCAGCAGCGCAGCAGCAGCAGCAGCAGCATCCAACCGCAGCAGCAAACAGCAGGCCACGAAAGCAGAGACTAGCTGGCCTGCTGGCTGCTGCTCAACGCCGCACCCACAGCAGCACCAGCAGCGACAAGGGGTGCAGCATCAGCAGCAGCAGCAGCTGCTGCAGCAGCAGCAGCTGCTGCTGCTGTTGCAGGCACACCATTAGGCATTTCTTCGTGCTGAGCGAGCCTTCTTTGGGGCCCTGCTGGTTGTGCTGCCATGCTGCTGCTGGCTCACATCGCTGCCTTCTCCTGCTGCTGCTGCTGCTGGAGTTGCTGCTGCTGCACTCCGCCGCACCCGCGACCTGCAGCAGCAGCAACACCAAGAGAAGCAGAAGGACCCAACACACATCAGCAAGGGCCGCAAGCAGCAACAGCTGCAGCAGCAACAGCTGCTGCAGCAGCAGCAGCACTAGCAGCAGTAGCAAAATGACGGCAGCAGCAGCAACGAACGATTGCAGCAACGAGCAGCTAAATTGCAAGTGGAAAACGCACTTGGATGGCTGCTGCTGCTGTTGCTGCTGCTGCTGCATTGGCACTACGCCGCCCATGGGAGCGTAGGAGTGCGAACCCGGCTGCAGCAGTGGCTGCTGCTGCTGTCCCGGGTGCTGCTGCATCAGCTGCTGCTGCTGCATAATGTGCTGCTGCTGCATCAGTTGTTGCTGCTGCATCAGCTGCTGCTGCTGCTGCTGCATCTGCAAGTCATGCATACCAGATACCATGTAGGGCTGCTGCATCGGGTGCACCCCCACGGCCGGCTGTTGCTGCTGCTGCATCAGTTGCTGCTGCTGCATCAGTTGCTGCTGCTGCACCAGCTGCTGCTGCTGCAGCTGTAGCTGCCGCTGCTGCATTGGCAGCGGCTGAGCCATTTGTGGTGGTTGTGCTGGGACTTGCTGCTGCTGTTGCTGCTGTGGTTGCTGCTGCTGCTGCTGCTGCTGCTGAGCCTGCTGCATGTGCTGCTGCGGCACCTGCTGCTTCTTAACGTGGCCTGCAGAGAGCTGCATCATCTGCTGCTGCTGGTCGCCCATATGCACTTGCTGCTGCTTCACTTGCATAGGCTGATGCTGCTGCTGTGGCGTTGCAGCAGCTGCTGCTGCTTTGCTTCCTCCTTGTGCTGCTCCGTAGCCTGCAGCGCAGCAGCAGCAGCAAAGTGTGGCTTAGCACAGCCAAAGCAACTGCAGCCGCATGAGCTGAATCCTGTGCTGCAGCGGCCACACTGTCGCAGCAGCAACGGCAACAGCAGCAACCACACCAGCAGCAGCAGCAGCAGCAGCAAACAATTGCAGCTTCTTACCTCTCTTTGAGCGCGATCCCGAGCCTGACTGCGACTTGTTGCAGTGCTGCTTCCCTGCTGCTGCTGCTGCTTCTGACGGGTGCTGCGCTGCAGCAACAGACTGCTCCCAGAATTCGAGTTCCTGTGGGGCGTACATACACCGCAAAACAGCAACAAGGCCTGGATGCCATGCTGCAGCAAAGCTGCTGCTGCTGCTGCTGCTGTTGCTGCTGCTGCTTCGCTGCCGCAGCTGCTGCTGCTCCTGCTGCTGCTGCTGCTACTGCTGCTGCTGCTACTGCTGCTCACAGCCTTCAGCTTTTCCATGTGCATCTTCAAAGCAACGAGAACAGAAACATCTCCTCGCAAGGCCCTGAGAAAAAGTTGTGCAAAATATGGGCATCGAATGCAGCAGCAGCGCAGCAGCAGCGCAGCAGTAACGTTGCATCAACGCAGCAGCAATTCTCCAGCAATGCAGCTGTGATGCAGCAGCAATGCAGCAGCAGAGCAGTTTGCCACAAATAGAGCAGCCCGATTTAGCAGCGATTCCGCAGCAGCAGCAGCAAGCAACGGCCACCGCAGCAGCCTCAGCAGCAAAAACTGAGGAGCTGCTGCTGCAGCAGAAGCCAACTGATGTTCTAAACAGCAGCTGGACCCCCAGCAGCAAGACACGCAACTGCCCCAGCAGGAACAGCAGCAGCAGCAGCAGCAGCAGCAGCAGCATTCTACGTGTAGGCCTCCACAACAGGAAAGGAATTGCAAGTGGGCTTTGGGGCTTCGTAGGCATTCAGGTGTCTCTCCACTAGCTCCGCCTGCCTCTTCGGCAGCTGCTGCTTCTGCTGCTGCAGCACGCTGCTGAGGGTAGTAGCTGTGGGGCCCGTGAACTGCAGCAGCGGCGGCGGCTCCTGCAGCAGCAGCAGCAGCAGCAAAGGCAGCCAGCAGTCAGCAGCAGCAGCAGTCAAGGTAGCCAGCAGTCAGCGGCAGCAGCAGCAGCAGCAGCAGAGAGCCCCCATGGGAAGCAAAAGCAAATGGCAGAAGCAAAAAGAAAAAACCTCGATCCGTCGCTACCCCCAGCAGCAGCAGCAGTAACTGCAGCAGCAGCAGCAGCAAAAGCAGCAATACGCACAGCAATAACGTCTTCCGCTGGAACTTCAAACCTCTTTAAAAGCCGGCGCTGCTCCTCTCTAGTTTTGCTGAACTTTTTGGCTTCAAGTTCTACTTGGCGAATCTGCTGCTGCAGTTGCTGCTGCTGCTGCTGCAGCTCTGCGGACACTCGCTGCCGCTGCTCCAGCAGCTGCCGCCGCTGCCGCTCAGCCACTACGCTGCAGCAGCACCCCACACCACACTGGATGCAGCAGCAAAGCACGTGCAGCAGCAGCAGCAGCAAGTGCGTGCGGCCGGAGAAGCAGCAGAAGCAGCAGAAGCTCAACAAAGAAGACAGCAGCAGCAGCAGCAGCTCATCTGCAGCAACAGAAGCAGCAGCAGTGGATCAGCAGCGATAATATCAGCAGCGCCTGCTCATCAGCAGCGGCAGCAGCAGGATGAGCAGCAGCAGCAGCAGCAGCAGCAACAGCAGTACTTGTATGAAAATCGAACAAGCGGGTGCCTGTTCTTTTCCTCCTTGAGGCGGTGCAGCACAGCAGCAGCAGCAAATTCGGACTGCGCCTTTGCTATTCGTTCATCGTACATGTGGAGAGTGAGGCTGCAGCAACAAAGCAGCAGCAGCAGCAGCAGCAGCAGCAGCAGTTGCAATTAGCTCCTGCTTGCCTGAATTTGCAGCAGCATGTGTTAGATGCACACCCACTCTGCATGCATGCGCACATCTACAATATATAAATATAAACATATATATACACACATATGTATATGTATATATATATATATATGTACATGTATATAACATATATATATTACATATATGTACA